TCAGGTGATGAAAATCTCTGTCCACGCAATTTATTCTTTATTTTAGGGAAAGTATAGAAATCATTAGGGCTTAGGTCTGGGCTGTATGGTGGATGGTCTAATAATTCTATGTTTTCTTGCTCTAAAAACTCTTTTGTTCTGTGTGCGGTGTGAGAACTCGCATTGTCGTGATGGAGGATGATGCGGCGGTTGCAGTTCTCTTTACGGAGTTCAGAAACGACCTGTGGCAAACAAATGCTAGCATACCATTCTGCATTAACCGTTCTTTGTCCCTCAAGAGGAATAGTCGTAACATGGCCGGTTTTGGAGACAAACGTGACCACCATTTTTTTTTGCAACACTCCGTGAACAAACAATTTTTGTTGGCTTTAACTAATTTTCGAACACCCAAACTCGTGACTGGTTTTTTGTTTCGGGTTCGTACGCGTATATCCAGGATTCGTCACCTGATACGATGTTGTATACAGCATTTCAGGATCCTGCGTGGAATCTTTCGAGAGTTCTGGCGCACCAAGTAACGCGAGCCGCTTTTTGCTCTTTACAGAGCGAATGCGGTATCCATCGGGAAAACAACTTTTTTACACCTAATTGTTCATGCAAGATTATTTGTATTTGACTCATGCCAATGTCTAAAATTGCCTGAATTTTGCGGTATGTCACATGTCGATCTTCCTCAATCAGCTTACGGACAGCATCAACGTTTTCTTGGGTGACTGCAGTTTTTGGACGATCTTGACGGGGATCATCACTGAGCTTGACACGTCCATGTTGAAATTCAGCAAATCAGCGATAAATTGTGGTTTTGGATGGGGCTTCATCACCAAATGCAGAAATCATCCGGTCAACACTCTGTTTTTGTGTTACACCACTTTGAAAGTCATAATAAATCATCGCTTGTGAATTTTCTCGTGGCAATTCCATTTATCAACGGCTAAACAAGTTTGACAAAACCTTGTGACAAGACCGAGAATCTTTTTTTAAATAAATATATGGTATTCGATTTTTAAAACCAAGGAGTTTTCAATTAAAAAGATTTTAATATGACAGGAACAGTGGAAATATTCCATTCCCAATACTTTTAGTGCAGCATATGTATGTATAAAGAGTTTTAATTGTCTTAAGTGGTAATTTTTGGTCTATATACTATGCCAAATATGACAGTAAGTACATTACTATTTACTGATTTATTTGAAAAATTGCATCACTATTATATTACAATCAATCAAAATCAATTAGACAAACCAAATAATATAATATTTCAAAGGGTTACTGAGACACATGTTTACTGTTATTATAATTAAAATGACTAGGGGTAATTTGATATATACTTACCAGCTGAGCTTAAGTAGATTTCATAGTGACCTTTTCAATGCCATATTTTAACTTAAAACAATAGTCCAAAATTTCACATTATTCGACTACATTTTGTTGTAAGATCTTAGATGAAGATTTTATTGACATTCATTGATATAAATAAGTATTATACAAACCAGGTTAATCAAAATTGTTAATCACATTTATGTACTAAGTCTTAGACAAAATTAATTTATCGACAATGTTTCTTGTTTCACTGATGGCACATCAATCGAGTTGTCTATGGAATGGAAAAATGGCAACAATGTTGTAAAAGAATAAAGGGTGAGAATAATATCTATTTTATTTTGTACCACGTAAAACATCTTAAGCATAAAGAGTTCAACTACAAAAATTTTGTTCTTACTTTAGCATTCCCTCTATGCTAGTTAATTACTCTGAGGTAAAAAAAAATATGCTGTCATTACACATTCAATCTCGAATCTGAACGTGCATGTCTAATGCCAGGTTTTATATTCAAAAATCTTTATTTTCTCTTACAAGTTGTCCCATAATAAATGTAATGCATGAAAACCCCTTAATAAAATACCTGTTGAAATATTTATGAAGTGTTTAAAGTTTTTCGTTTTAAGTAATCCTAGGTTGCTGAATGAATAGTTTGTAATAAAAACTGCAAAACTTTACATGCAGCTTGTGTGTAATAAAATAGATCATTATCAGCATTATTAACACTGCATAAACATAAACATAACATAACATAAACACTCACGCCTGTCACCCAGAGGGGTAGGCAGAGATTATGGACTTCCATTTGGCACGATCCTGACACACCTCTCTCGCTTCCTCCACATCCATATACCTACGCATACACGCTCGTCGGTTAAAGGTACTCTTGATTTGGCCCATTTTTAATATATCGCCAATTTGATCGATAAACTTTCGCCTAGGGAGACCCTTCCCGACTATGCCGTTCACCTCTGCAACATAAATTTGCTTTGCCACTCTTTCCTCATTCATTCTTTCTTTTTTTTTGGCCATGTCCAAACCACCGAAGCATTCCTTTCTTAATCCTGGTCACAACATCATCTTGCATACCACACTCTTTTCTTATTAAACGATTTCTCACTCTGTCATTCAGATTCATCCCTAACATACTTCTTAATGACCGCATTTCTACAGCATTTATTCTACTCTCGTGCTTCTTCTGCCACACCCAACTTTCACTACCATACATTAAAGTAGGTACTAACACAGCATTGTGAATTGCCATACGTGCCTTTTTGGACACATTCTGACTTTTCACAATAGAGTGTAGAGCCCCATTCACTCTATTTCCTGCATTCACTCGTCGTTCTATATCCTTATCATATCTACCATCCCTGCTAAACACACATCCCAAATATACAAACTCATCTACTTGCTCTACCAACTCCCCTTCTATTCTTATTTCACATATCGTTTTACTTTCTTCTCTTTCAAAAACCATAACTTTCGTCTTACTTGCGTTCACTTTCATTCCCTTTTCTTTTAATGTCCTGTTCATTAATGTAACTGATTCAGTGTTAACTCGGCCGAGCCGAGTTAACACTGCATCAGTGTAAGAAGTTTCATATTTGATATTAAAGATAAGAAAGCCGTGACAAGTAGGAAATTAAATGCTGATAAAACACAGAATATAATGAAAATAGGTTTAAGTAGAAGTTGTTGATGATGTATGTTTAGTATAGCACCATTGACCTATTAGGAATGAAGGAAAAGGAGTAAGTGGTGGATCAGATACTGCAGTCACAAAGCTGCAATACCTGTGGCAACTATTGGCCATGTAGTTGGGTTAGGTACCCACTGGCAATGCCATGTAATGTAACCTTCTGAATATTTTAAGGTTAATATGATAATACTAATAGGGAGACCTGAAATTTTAGGTAAGAGAGTGATAACCTGCCAATGGTACAGTTCTACAATTTTTTTTAATATTTTTATACTACTTTGATGGTATGCATTCTGTGAATTCTGTGGTCCTAGACTTTTACATTTAACCTCGATTAAAAATCAAGCATTTTCACACTTGTTGGAATGCCTAAATATCAGTAGAAAGTTCTCCGGTGCTTGTTGCTCGCAATTAAAAACACAGTAGCACTATGCCGTTTCCTGCTGGTAATGTCAGCGTAGTCCTTTCCGAGTTGAGCCGACTCACTCCTGGTGCAACCGTAACACACGACAGTGTGGCTCTACCATTACCAGTATACACACCACATATGTCTTATATTTATATGATATTTAGCAATCACCAGAAAGTATGAGATGGTTTTAAAAGACTGGTAGATACATGGTACACTTTTAAGCTTCTTGCTTAGAATTAAACTAAATGCTTAAAAGTGACAAAAGTAAAAACTTGTCTTGAGCCGAGTACTTTCTGGAAGCATGGCTTCTACTTAGAGTCAGACAATCACTGAGGCGAGCAACTATCACCAAACTCACTTGATATTATGAAAGATAATGTTATCACTAAACACCTGTATTTGTTAAATTATTTAAATTATTCTATTTTGTTTGATATTCATGACAATTAATATGCTGCATATGACCGACGCACGCACGTGGATGTACGCTCACGGGTATGGTTCTAAAAAAGTTTTAAGCACTGCAGGCGATAGTGTATAATTTAATTCATTCCATTATTGAGGATCTAACCCTAGTTGCTCGTAGCACACTATAAAACAAATATATTTTTACGTACGTAATGTAAAATTTTAAGTTAATATTTATGTTTTGTGTTCTTTCACTAGAAAGCGCGAAAAAATGTTCTTAAAATTTAGTAAGTTTTTACTATTTGTCAAATGTAATGAACCTTATGAATGATAGATAGAATGCATAGAGCATATAGGTGCTTAAATAACATTGTTCGTAATGTTAAATTTTAAACTGATTATAGTTATTCTTTACTCACAATGCTGATTATTTATTTAAATTTATGATTGATTTTATTAAATTTTCTTTACTGACAACAATAAAACTAAATTCATAGCACGCTTTTTCTGCAAAACAAAAGTAATCATAGTTTATTGCTTTCTTTCGTGTTTCTGTGATAATATTTTATATTCACATAGGTATGTTTATCTATAAGTGTATGTACCTATCTATGTTTTGATCAATTCGAATTTGTGTTATTAAATGTCAAACAAACACGCATTTAACAAGAAAAAGAAACTTTAATATAGGCTTAAGGGCTGCATAAAGGATTATCTAGCCAACCTCAAACGCACGCCGTGTACCTGTCCTACTAATTGACGAAAGAGGTTTTGGCGATTGATAAATGACGGAAAATCCATCACAATTAGGCAAAAACCATATCATAGGTACAGACCGATGATAAAAATATTAGTGCAATATTGTATTTGGATCCACTTACCAAGTTCGTTGAGCAAATCTTTCAAAATATAAGTACATCGTTAATTTGCACAATTCTTAATGTAAGACTTTTCTAAAGTTTCCACCTTACATTAAAGAATTGCGGTAAAGAAAAATATAAATTGATAGTCATAAAACGTCATAAGTATAAAAAATATTACAAATAAGGGGTTCTTTAATACTAAACCAAAAAGTCTGTAAAAACAGTTTAGGGCTTAGTTTGTAAAAAAATCAATATAAGTGATATTTGTGTATTTCTGTGCAGGGTTTAATTCAGTATGGCGGAAGCGCACTCGGCGGTTGCGTTCTCCTTCGCAATTACTCACGACGGATGGGATGTGAACTTTGACCGGGAGGTGCTGTATTTAGTTTGGGAGTCCGGTCTCAGATCGTGGAAGAAGCGATTGGCACGATTTAGGGTTAGTTACTAAGCAAACACTAGCTTAATTTCTAATGTTATATTATTATTAGTTTTAAATTTTCCAGTCCGAACCAGTAGGTAGTGACGACTCTCTGTCGTATGGTGGAGGCGTAACAGGTAACTATAGAAAGAAAGATTTTATGGTTTCCGACAGATGACGTCATAACCCTTAGGACAGGGGTAAAATGTTCCAAGCTGAGGAGACGGGGAGCAGCGTCAGAGGTGGGAGACTTCTGGTACTGTGATCGTCAGTACGCTTGCCAAGCGTGGCAATTAAGGCAAGTCCTCTATCAACCGGAGAAGCCTATTTTCAGCTAAGAACTGTTTAGGGCAAACGATAAAGAAAAAAACATGCTTTATTATTACTTGCATGTCCTCTAATTACCGAGTTGTTTTTAGGGCCAGGGAGTATCTACCGCTCTATCTAAAATATTTTTAAATAATACTTGACATTAATTGCTTGTCTCTCGTCTACGATCATTGTTAGTTATTTGTTTAAAGTGTTGATTTTGTAGAATTTCCACGAGCTCTAAGAACTGACAGTTTTTTTTTTCACATCAAAAATATCTCTTATTGTTTCACAGAACAGCGTGAGCAATGGCGTATATCCAGGTCACCTACAATCCCTCTATTTTCTGTGGGCTTTACTGGTGGCCGCGCATTTTGGTGGCTTTAATATACCTTTTGGATTAGTACAAAAAGCTTTGGCCATTTTACCTGGGTAAAAAATCAACCACTTTTATTTTTGATTTTTTTTAATATTTCTAACCTATGAAGATTGTATGATTTTATTTATATCTAACATTATTATGTGGCTTCCGTGCTATTGCTAGATTTTAAAGTTACACACACACACACTTAAGTAAAAATGACATCTTTCTCCTTTAGAACCTCAACAATGTGGCAAGTCATTGCTTGCTTATTGGCAGCTTTAACCATGTGGTTGTCAGTTATATTCCTGATGCGGTACCTGCTTAAAGTTTTACTTATGTACAAGGTAATTTGTGTTTTCTTAATTTTAATTTTTTAATTACCTAAATTATTAATTTTCTTTTTCTATTAGTGTTATATCATGTAAAATATTATATAGTATATCTGTTCAATTGCATAGGGCTGGATGTATGAATCTCGTGCACCCGGAGCAAGAATATCATTAAAAACAATGTTATGGGTTAGTGTTGTGAAAGTGCTTTCTGGATGGAACAAACCCAGGCTTTACAGTTTCCAAGGTTCTCTACCGAGACTCCCGTTACCGTCAGTTAAAGATACTATGAGTAGGGTAAGGAAACTTTATTTTTTATATCAAGCATTGTTTATATTTAATTTTAAGATTTTATTTAAAAAAGTTATCTTCAGTCGATCTTATACATACCTGCGTATGCATAGAGGGAACCTACAATTCTACTTAAATTGAGTGAACATACTTGTCTCACTTTTATTGAAATATGTTGCTTGTAATTTATCTGTAGAGTTTTTCTTTATACTATGCCAAATACAGTGGCGTAGCTATGTAACCTAGGGTCTCGGGGCAAAAATGAAATTGGGGCCCTATTTAAACTAAACTAAATACTTTAAAGGTGCAAAACTACTTCATCATCAGCTTCTTGTCGCCCCACTGCAGGGCATAATAAAGGAAAGCTACTTACTACTAAGTATTATGTGTAACTATGAACTATGAAGTAGATTAAAGTTAATAATATAGGCAGACAACATAACAGCGGAAGAGCCACACGATAGCTTTTGCAGACTAGATGGAGTGACGACCTGTTAAGACATGAAATTAAGAGCTATAATGAATGAATGTAAAGAATGGGTGGACCGGCTCATACGGATAGACCCACGACCTTACAGATAACCAGCGTGAAGTAGAAGTTTCCTTCACCTGTTAAGTGCAGGTGGTCGGAAGCCTAACCCCTCTTCCCCTTACCATGGTAGTGTAATTAAATAAGAAACCAATCTAGGAGGGTACCAGCACTCCTGGTATTGGAGAATCTCTGACTAAGCATCCACGCCCAAGCTACCCTACTCTTTCTTAGCGTGGGTGCTCAGGCTGCCTCGCGGATCCTGCTCGTGGCAGGTATAGCGATAAGGCAAAGTTGATCCCTGCCACGCTATCCGTGAATTTCTGCAACATCAGGGGATTTCATTCGAACATCGAAGTCCTCTAGGTACCATTTCAAGACGGCCAAGCCGACCTTGCTCTTTCTAACCGAGACGTAGGTGTCCTCTCCGGTCGATACTTCTCTCCTATTCAGAGTACAAATTTTAACGCCTTTGTAACTCGGGCTGGAGTTTGCGTATACGTTAGAGAGGATATCTGTTCTCGACGCCTCGGCAGTCTTGAAGGTCAGCGACGATCATTCTCGCGTCAACGGGTGCCTCTATACGTAATGCCGACACAGACCAATTCATCGACCAACTTTGACCGGGAGCTGCTGTATTTACGTCCACATCGCTACAGAATCCGTGAAGATCCCATCTGCAGAGATCGTGGTCCTTGGTGATTTAACAGCCACCACGCTGAATGGCTGGGTTCTCGTTTAACCGATCATGTGGGAAGATCTGTTACTTCACCTTCGCGGATTCTAGATGTGGAGGATCGCGCACCTTCCCTGTAGAACCTTCTGCTGACCTCTTATTCGGACGGATATCAGGTCTCCGTCGACGCCCCTCTTGGTTCATTGGACCATTGTCTGATCTAGACTATGGAGCCACTCACACTCCCATCGCGGTTGCGTTCTGCAGATCGTTGAAGTATTTGGCACTATAGGTCGGCCAATCGGGGGAGGATGCGGTCTTTTCTGCATCCTTATCCTTCCCTTGAGGACAGGGGCGCATATGCTTCTCGCTGGATGATCGTGAATCTGTCGCTGATGTGGTACTTCAGGGAATGGAACTCTTTATTCATCATTATTCATCTGTGGTGATTGGTTTGGTAGCTCCTGTAAAATTGCATCTCGCTATAAAATATATATACAGGAAGTCGATGGATGCAGGTAGCTCAGGACCGGGCTTTGTGGCATTCCTTGGGGGAGGCCTATGTTCAGTAGTGGACTTGTGAAGGGCTGTAATAATGATGATGATGATAATAGGAGTGCTTCACCAACGCTGTTAAAAAGAAGTATAATTTCGGCTTCAGGTCGGTACGATACGGTTTACAAAGCGCTCGGTGCGCATAGCACTACTCTCCCTAGACTTCAATATTTCCTCCCATTGTGCTGAAGACATGTGCTCTTGAAAACTCTTTCTCTCTAGGCGTAGTCCCGAACTCAAAGAAGACAGACAAAAATAACCGAAAATTGACCGCTCAGACCTGTCCAACTTGTTCTCCAAAATAATCAAAACCATTGTCAACTGCCAGCTCAGGTTGAGGATCACCCACTGAAAAGCGACCGCCAGTACAATTTCCGTCAGGGTTGCTCAGCTGGTGATCCTTTGGCTTACCTGACTCATAAATCGAGGCAGAGAGGAAGACTGGCCGTTAGTTTGAACAAAACACTGGTTTGGTCTGGTTTGGCACAAAGTGCTTCTTTCGAAGCTCCCTTCCCGAAAATTTGTGCAACTGGATCAGCATTTTCTTGCAGATTGGAGCAACAAAATCGTAATAGGTGCTCAACAAGGCTACGTGCTATCACCTACGCTGTTTCTTCCGCATATCAATAATATATTGCAAACCAGTAACATGCACTGGTGATGCTTTATAGACCGGCTATGCCTATATTTCTCGGGAAAACGTCGTTGAGTACCGGAACAAACTTGGCTGAAGTCGAGTTTTGTCGAATAAGGTCTCGAATTGGTGCGACTAAATCTACGGTTTCGTCGAAAATCCCGGAATTTTTGGGAGGATCAGCCGCGCACCTGGTTCATACAGGCCGAATCCGTACTATACAACCAGAAGCTCTCAGATGCTGCTAAACACCATCTAGCAATTGCCAAGCTGGAGAAGCATGTCGTACGGCAAGTCACAGATGTCCTGGTGAATCCTCTAGCTGAAGGAAGTACGACCTGCTGGAGTCAACGTTACTCACCACTTTAGAGGAGTCCGAAACGCGTCAATTTACCAAACTCATTGGCGAGATGGACCTCGGACACCCAGCGCCTATCCCAACTGCTACGTAGAATGAAGGACCTGGCTAGGGATCGGTTCAAGGTCGATACTTTGAGCGTTTTATGGCAGAACCACCTACCGGCTGCAGTTCGTACTATACTGGTGGTCACCGGTACCAAAGACCTCAAGAAGCTAGCTTCTGTAGCAGACCAGAGACAATGCGACCTATCGGTGTTGCCGAGGTAGAATCGACTTCGTCAGGCGACGCTCCCATCATTGATGAAATCGCTAAGATTAATAAGCGACTGGATAAAGATACAACTAACATTTTTTTATTTAGAATTAAAAAATAAAGAAATGAAAAGCATTAAATGAAACACAAAAGTTGCCGAAATAAATCCGAAAATTAAATGTGGTGCAATGAAGATAATTAAAAAAGTGAGTCATTCGATATTCATAAGTAACCTGTTAGGTTAGGTTAGTGTTATAACATAAATATAGTACATAAATGTTAAGAGAAGTATTTAGATTTCTTGAAAAAAGGTTCTGACTTGACCCTGGCTATCGATTTTCAAAATCCCCGTATCTTCCCCGCATAATACCAATCCCCATAAAATTCCCAAGCAACTTTAAATTCCCCGCAATTTTGGGAATTTCCCATATGTTGGCAAAGCTGACATGTGTAAATTCGACAGTGCAAGGCGACACGAGCCGACTGGGCGGCGGTAGCGCGTGTGTGAAAGGGAAGGGTAGAGTGAGGAGTTCGGCGTCCACGAGAATATTGACCCTATTGTCAGCTGATTTTATTTTAAGATTCACTGCTGTTTTTATGTGTACGTGAATAAAGTTAAGAAAATGTTGTAAAAAGAAGATTTTTTTTCCTCGGGATCGATTTTTTTTGTGACCCATCATCTAAGGTATCTTTAGTACTATCATCTGTCTTTGTTTTCGGGAGCCTTTCACAAACACCCGGTATTTTAGCGCTGTATCCTGATATCACCAATCCGGTTTAAGAACCACCCAAACAATCTATATACCACCATGTAGATACTAATGGCCCACCAGTGCACGCTAAAGTGAGACCGTTACCACCGTATCGATACGCAAAGTTCAAAGAAGACTTTATGCTTATGCAACAGTTGGGAATTTGTAGACTGTCGAAAAGTGCGTGGGCAAGCCCTCTACACCTTCCCAAAAAAAAAAGACGGCCAAATACCACCATGTGGCGATTACAGGGCTGTTAACGCGATAACCAAGCCCGATAGGTACCCTATACCGCGGTTGCATGATTTTACATATTTATTAGAAGGAAACTCTTTATACACACATAGGCTGCACTAAAAGTATCGGGAATGGAATATTTCCACTGTTCCTGTCATATTATTTTTTTTTTAAATTGTAAAGTCCTTGTTTTTAAAAATCGAATACCATTTATTTATTTAAAAAAAGATTCTTGTAATAAGTTTGACAAAACCTTGTGACTTATTTAGTCGTTGAGAAAATGGAATTGACTCGAGAAAATTCAAGAGCGATGATTTATTATGACTTTCGAAGTGGTTTAACACAAAAACAGTGTGTTGACCGGATGATTTCTGCATTTGGTGATGAAGCCCCATCCAAAACCACAATTTATCGCTGGTTTGCTGAATTTCAACGTGGACGTGTCAAGCTCAGTGATGATCCCCGTCAAGGTCGTCCAAAAACTGCAGTCACCCAAGAAAACGTTGATGCTGTGCGTAAGCTGACTGAGGAAGATCGACATGTGACATACCGCGAAATTCAGGCAACTTTAGACATTGGCATGAGTCAAATACAAATAATCTTGCATGATCAATTAGGTGTGAAAAAGTTGTTTTCCCGATGGATACCGCATTCGCTCTGTGAAGAGCAAAAAGCGGCTCGCGTTACTTGGTGCGTCAGAACTCTCGAAAGATTCCACGCAGGATCCTCAAATGCTGTATACAACATCGTATCAGGTGACGAATCCTGGATATAAGCGTACGAACCCAAAACAAAAAACCAGTCACGAGTTTGGGTGTTCGAAAATGAGTTACGCCAACAAAAATCGTTCGTTCACGGAGTGTTGCAAAAAAAATGGTGGCCACGTTTGTCCCCAAAACCGGCCATGTTACGACTATTCCTCTTGAGGGACAAAGAACGGTTAATGCAAAATGGTATGCTAGCATTTGTTTGCCACAGGTCGTTTCTGAACTCCGTAAAGAGAACTGCAA